GTTTGTGTGGCCATGATCTAGAACGTCTGACTTATGGAGCTATCTTTCCAATCTCTCCTCCTGAATATAAACAGAAGGGCGATGAACGCAAACACCTGACTAATAACTAGCAAAAATAGTATGATATCTTCATGACCAAACTTTATCAGCAATTTGACCTTGCTGCAGTCACCATGAAAATATTAAGCAATGTTTGTGACTCCATCGCCTGATGAAAAAAAAATCTCAAAGACTTCTCGTTTTGGTCTCTAGCTCGGTGGTAAATGCAAATACTTTTCAACCTGTGAACTTGATAGAAAAATCTAAAATTATATACAAATGTCAAATCCTAGTCACAGTCCTGTAAATACTGAAATACTTTGTTGTAACCCTTACATTTACTAAAGGGTAAAGAACAATAACAACAACAACAAAAAAATGAAGTTAGCCTGTGTCTTTCAATAACAATATTTTATATTGACAGATGGTGATTATTTAGTTAACTTAATAGAAAATATGATAAACAACAATACACTTAAGTTAAAACAAAATGCTGATTTTTTACTACAATTTCTGATTTATAAATAGAATCTTAATTCTCTCCGCACTTTTGCTACAGGGAATTAAAAGTTAATAAATCATAAACCTAAAAAATGGAGAATAATTTAGACAATAAAATAATCAATACATTCGTTTAGTCTTAGTTTTCTGCTAATCGTTCGTGTGATGAAATTATACAGAAGTAAATTTTAAATAAATTAGGAATTTGTTTTTCCACTTCAATGATTTTTCTTCAGAAGATTATCTTCTAATCTATTTAATACTCATAAAAGCTTGCTTTTAACAAGTAAAACCCCCAGTGGCACAGCAGTAAGTATAAAGGCTTATAACACTAAAAAAACCGAGTTTCTATACCGGTCGTGGGTACAGATAGTCCATTGTGTAGCTTTGAACTTAGCTACAAACAATTTTGTGTTTGTTTTAAGCACAAAACCAAACAGTAGGCTATCTTTTCTGTTCCCAGTTATTTCACAGTTATTGAAATCAGGTATTAAACATTATAAATCTTTAGGCTTTCCGCTGAGCCACTGAGGAGCGAACTACAAATTAACAAGTACAAAAATATATATATTTTTCTATCTTTGCAGATATAATAATGATGATATTAAGTAAGTGCTAACAAATGAGTTTTTTTTATAGATTGTTTAGGCAGAGTAACGTGGTCTTCTACATTTGTGTTTATACAAGAAGCAGTTGCTTTCCATTCCAGTTTATTCATTAAAATGAGTTTTTAATGTTTTAAAATGAAGTTTGTAAAGTTGTTACAACTGAGCAAACTATAGTAGATTGTTGAAATATAACAGCAAAAGGGATGTTGGGATAATAAAAACATTTTGTCAATGAAATAAGACTTCTTGTTGGTTTTCCAATATATAATATTGATCAAATTACGTATTGAATATGTTTTATCAAAAGGCAATTAGTTGCTCTTAGGTATTTCAAGGCATAACAAACATGACGCAGAATTAGAGATTTAAAAATGTACCTGAATTTGGCAATGCCCTAAACAGAAGACATGCTTCTATGTTGGTTTAACTTATATCAATGTCGTAGGTTAAAATAGCTGTTATTTCTACACATTCGCCACTAGCCATGGCCAGGCGGTTAGGGCGCTCGACTCGCAATCTGAGGGTTGCGGGGTCGAATCCCCATCCCACCAAAAATAGTCGTCTTTTCAGCCGCGAGGCTATTACAAAGTTATGGTAAATCCCACTATTCGTTGGTAAAATAGAGTTGGCGGCGGTAGGTGGTGATGACTAGCTTCTCTCTAGCCTTCCCTCTAATCTTTCACTGCTAAATTAAGGACGGCTAGCGCAGATAACCCGTGTGTAGCTTTGCACGAACATCCAAAGAAATCAAATCGTCACTAACTTGGAATATATCTTTTGCATTTTTCTAAATTTCCAATCAGGTATTCTGCATGTTTGTTGCGTCCTTGTAAACTGGATATACAAAAGTCGTAGACATCTACTAATCCTTTGGATAAAGTAAAATGCCGCCTTAAAATGTTACAATATCTTGCCATTAAGTTAAGAAAGCCAAATCTTGACCAGAATACGAGCTCACTACCACAACATCTTCAGATGTGAAAAATGTAAAGAAAAGAACAAAACATGGACTTTGATCATCTCAAGAGGTAATGCAGATATTTGTACAAGTTGGTATGAGTTAGAAGTTCTTTCTTTGTTTCTGTTATTAGGAATAATTGACATAGGCAATCTAATGATTGTGGGATACTACACTTAAATTATTGTCTGACTTGAAAGTGTGGTTACTATTTGTTATGTTCTTTTTTCTGACAGGACGTGATTATTATTCTTTTCATTGTACTGTGCGGATGTATTTGTAGAGCTTTTCTTTTCTAAGCAGCCAGTGAGAAGTCATAGCAAAAATAAAGAATCAATAGTTTAGTTAGTTAGTTGTTGTAACAAATGGCTTATACAAATAGTGTTCCAACCAATATGGTCTTTGTTGTGTCCTAGAAAGTCTGATGATCTCTGTATTGAGTGAAATAAAACTGTAAAATAGCTAAAAATAAACGCAAATTTTTCAAAAAATAAACACAAAAAAAACAGTTTACTTCTTTTGAATCTCGCGCAAGGCTACACAAGTGCTATCTACACTAGCCGTTCCAAATTTAGCAGTGTAAGACTAGAGAGAAGACAACTAGTCATCACCACCCACTGCCAACTCTTGAGGTACTCTTTTAGCAACGAATAGTGGGATTGACCGTCACATTATAACGCCACCACGGATGAAAGAGCGAGCATGTTTGGTGAGACGGGTATTTGAACCCACGATCCTCAGATTGTGAATCGAGTGCCCTAACCACCTGGCCATATTGGGCCACTCTCTTTGAAACGTAAGAAATCAGAGCGTCAAGAAATCATCACTTGACTGCCAGTAATAAAAAAAAACATCTTCTTACTTCACGTACTATTAGTGACTTTGCAGCTCTCTTTACCACGAGAAGATGAAATGATGTACTCTAGGTGAATGATTTGTTTGTTAAGCACAAAGCTACACAAAGAGCTATATGTGGAGGAAAATTCACAAAAAGAATAACAGACAATGAAATACAGAAAATTGCTTAAGGACCAATTCAATGACATGTTCTTAAAGCTCACTGACATTTCATCTTCAGGGACTTTTGTTTTTTCATATTATTATAAGCCAAATTTTCGATGTTATAACTTAGTTGTTTGTTAGAGAGAGCAGCTAATTACGACGATGACGATAGACCTGGAAAGTTCACAAAAGTTTTTAATGGTGAAACAACGTAGAAAATTTGCGGAATTTGGAGAAATGAGAGTACAATATAAATATCAGTAATCATTGTGTGAAAATTCATTGAAAATTGAGTGATTCGGTTTAGTGTTTGTAGTGAGAGTTATCTTGCCTGTTAAGTTAATAGATCGATTGGTAAAGAAGTTCTGTAAGTTTATTTGTAAATATAAGTTAGGTGTAGCATTAGTTTGTTCATACACTGTTTGTAAACTTAGGCCTTCAACTTGTATCAAAGTAAACGCAGCCTGAAACAAACTCTATAGAAGAAATATATTAAACTCATCATCTTTACTTGGACTGAACATAGTGTTACGACAACGGGGGTCACGTGACTCTGGTAACACGTCATATTCTCGTAGGTTCGTGAAGCCTCTAGAGGTTACTAGATAGGCGGTATTCTTGTATATATAAGCCGCCAAGAAGTGACGGCAACAAT